AGAAATGAGTAAGTCCTCTGTTTCTCAGGTATTTATATCAACTACCTAACACATAACTGGGCACATAGGAAGTACTCAGTAAATACCTGGTGGTTGTGAGAAATAGACTGAACATGCATGTGCTTGTTTTCACAATGGATATTGAACACACAGTGGGGGTAATAAATACAATCTTCGATAGTGAGGTGAGAGAATGACACTATGTGAAACTGAAGAATACAAGATTTATTTATGGGAAAAAACAGCATGGTTTGGACAGTTTTGTTCTCCCCTCCTTCAGCCTCCTGCTGCTCAATGATACCACATGGCCAACAATATCCTGGTCTCTAAGATTCTAAGGGAATCACTGAGGTCCTATCTAGGCATTGAACTGTCTGGTGTCACTATTCCCCCATTGCTTCCTCCTCTTCCTCCTCCTCTGTCCAGCTCAGATCATCATCTGAATCGTCAGATTCTTCCTCCTCCATCTCTAACACAACCCCTGCCCTAGCCTTCTCAGCTAGTGCATCAGGGTGCTCCAGCTGGGCCCAGGATCCTGGGTCAGCCTTGACCAGGGAGATTTCAACCCGAGATGGCATCAAGGAGACAGAGCTCTGCTCCACGTTTATGACCTGAGGAGGAGCAAAGGAAAACAGAAGAAAGAATGAGGAAATCAAAGGGTCAGGGTGGAGTGGTGACAAATGAGAGAGAAATTTTTTTTTTTTTTAAATAAGGCAAGAATCAATGATAGACTGGATAAAGAAAATGTGGCACATATATACCATGGAATATTACGCAGCCATAAAAAGGGATGAGTTCATGTCCTTTGTAGGGATATGGATGAATCTGGAAACTATCATTCTCAGCAAACTGACACAAGAACAGAAAACCAAACACCAAATGTTCTCATAGGCAAGTGTTGAACAAAGAGAACACATGGGCACAGGGAGGGGAACATCACACACTGGGGTCTGTTGAGAGATGGGGTGTTAGGGGAGGGACAGTGTGGGGGTTAAGGAGGGATAACACTGGGAGAAATGCCTGATGTAGGTGATGGGGGGATGGAGGCAGCAAACCACCATGGCATGTGTGTACCTATGCAGCAATCCTGCAAGATCTGCACATGTACCCCAGAACTTAAAGTACAATTAAAAAAATAATAATTAAAAAATAAGGCGATGCCAGGTGTGGTGGCTCATGCCTATAATCCCAGCACTTTGGGAGGCCAAGGCGGGCGGATCACCTGAGGTCCAGAGTTCGAGACCAGCCTGGCCAACATGGAGAAACCCCGTCTCTAAAAATAAATAAATAAAATAAGGCAAGAAAAAAGATAAGGGAGGAAAAATACAATATAATAAGGGAAAGAAAGGAAAGAAATGAGAGAAGAAAAGGGAGAAGGCAGAAAGGAGGCAAAGAGAGGGAAGTGGGAAGAGAAGGAGAGAGAGAGAAAAATGAAAGCAAATGAAGAGAAAACCTCAATTTTCCCACTACAACTCCATCTCTCAAGACACCCTCTATTCTGGTCTAGCCTCTCTTTCACCCCATCTGCCTCCCACTCCTGTGCCCCCTGGTCTTCACTTACCCCCCAGAGCTTCATCTGTGCTTGGAACACACGGTTACCATCAAAGACGATGTGGACATGAAGCTAAGGAAAAGAATTACAGGGGTAGTAACAAACCCAGAAGGTCAGAGCAGGTCATTACAACAGACAACCAGGTCAGAGGTGTGATCCACAGGTCAGCCAGATAGCCCTGACCTAATAGCTCTCCTTTCTATAGGCGACTATAGAGCCTACAGGTTAACAGCATATGGCAAGTCTGCCTGTGAGGTTGCAGTATCACCCAATTCACTATCCCATCCAACATCAGATCATTCATTGCTCACCTCAGTTTGACTGGCCTTCACCCAGTTAAACGCAGGAAGCGGAATCTGGCCATATACAGTCACCACTACTAAGGAATCTGTCTGGTGCCAATCATGGCGGCAAGATGCTGGCAGCTAAAGAGAAGATGTAAAATGAAGGTGGTAAGAATAAATTCTTAACCCAAGGAGGAGTTCTCACGATGCATATGGAGAAGAGACAAAGAGTCTCAAAAAGATTAACACAACCTCATATTGCAAAGACTCTGGGCTGTTGAGGGATAAGGAGCAGAATCTTATTTGGTCTGTACCAAAGGGAGAAGATAGGGAGCTTGGCCACGTGGTACAGAGAGGGAGGAGAATTTACCTCTGAGATTGGGTTCTAATCAAGAGTTCAGAAAAGCTGGGGCTCACCTGCTTCCCCCAGTCATGTCTACCAACTCTGCACCCTGGCTGTGCCAAGAATGCCCCAAAATCCAGGGTCTGGATGCCACAACAGCTCCAAGACTTCATCCTGAAGTAAGAGGATAATTCAACTGACTTCTCTCACCCCCAATCCCATCTTATAACCAAATATTAGGAGAAATCTGTCTCATAGCCCACCCAGTCCCCTCCCTCACCCCTCATGGAATCGGGGTGCTCCTGGGTGGTAGGTACATGGAGTAGCATCACTCTCAGGGCCTTGGTAAACCTAAGAAGGATAAAGGAGAACCAGGTCATTCTAAGGTATACCCTACTTAGCCTTGTATCTATACCCAGTCATCTCTCAGCCATGTGCTTGAGCCCCTCAAAACTCTCACTCACAGCATCACATCCTGGGTTCTGGCAGCTGGAACCAGTTCGAATCAGATTACTGTCAAGTCCTGGGCAAGGGAAACACAGTCAGGAACTTATCCATCCCCCCACTCAATTGCCACTTCCACTAAATTCCAATCTATGAAGTTGATCCCACTAAATTCCAGTCTATGAAGTTGATCCTACTAAAGACCCACCTACCTGCCCCAGGTTCCTGGTCTAATTCCTTCTGTTCCAATGCCATTTCCAGGGCTTGGGATATATTTAGCGGCAGCAGCTTCAGAGGCAACTCTGACCTAAGGATTATGGGTGGTGATTTAGTTCTGAACCATTAGCTATAATTGCCAGCTGCAACACTCCCACCGATAGTAATGGAATTGAAGAAGCCTGGTGAAAGTGAGGCAGAGTTGGAGAGGTTGGGTAGCAACCCCATTGCCAATTTTCATCTCTGTGGACCTCCCAAATACCTGAACCCTAGAGAAATCCCGAGCACTTCTCTTGCCCATGTACTCATTTGCTCTAAACCTAACCACTTTTCTCTGCAGAACTGAGCCCTCTTCCTTTTTATCTAATTGTGGACCTAATATGACTTCCAGAAGTTGCTCATATTATTCCCACAAAATTTTTCTCTGCAGTCTCCTGGCTGCCAATAATACATCCTTTTCTTGATATGAGATTTATCTTAAAGTTTTTTTCTAGAAAAAGAAAAAAGTCATTCTCAACAATCCCTTTTGTTATACACTAAGGATGTATTTGTGAGGGGCTATCTACTCTGTTGATTCAGATCTCTATCCCATCATCCCATACCACCTTAGAGGAAAGGGCATTATTTCCAGACACAAATTACCCCTAAGGCACAGGATATACACCATCCAAACCCTGACAACTGGCCCTCCTCACATCCCTGGTCTCTAGTTCCCAGTCCTCAATGACCCAATGACCCATTAATCACTCCTAGGAAGCTGCATGAAAATAGGAAAAGTCCAGGGGCCTCCTCCCCTTTACTTGGGCCTCTCCCGGCGCAAGGTCTCTGCTGACTTTGGAATCACATTCAGAGGTTTTTGCTCCTGAAGTGAACTGCTTGTAGCAGGGCCTTCAGGTTGAGGGGCCTCAGGAAGCTTCTCAGCACAGTGTGGTCCCATAGTACAGCCCTAGTATAGATAAGGAGATAAGGATTAGGAACAGAATCCTATTGGGGGCAGAATCCAAGTACGTAAATAATTTACCTTGATGTTTAAGAACTCAGAGAAATCTACAGTTCGCTTTCGGCAGCAGGACCAACCCTGATAACGAGAGACCCAGATCAGCTTAGCTTCCTAGGTATCTCTTCTGGGAAATGCTCTTGCTAACCCCCGTCACCTATTCCTCACCTTAAGTGCATCATGGAAGACTGGGACCCCAGGGTGATGGCAACAGGAATCTGTGGACATTAGTACAAGTTATCAAGGAAGGGAAGATAACTATACAAAGTATCATTTCACCTCTTCCCTGGGTTTATGTTTATGGTTTCTTACCATATAATGTCAAAAAAAAAAAAAAAAAAAAAAAAAACACAGCAAAGGCTGAAGATAACTCAGACCAATTAAACTAGGGCAGATAGTTTCTTTCCCTGCTCCTCAAACATACTGCCCCCCAGCTGACCATTCCCCAATACCCACACAGAGTCCCTGGCCAGGTCAGGATTATTTACTCACCAGGAAGGTTGGTATTAGGGTCAAAGTGCTGCCCACAGCCTTTGTTACGGCAGAGTAGAGACATGGAAGCGTCGGTAGGATTACTGAAAGGGTATTTCAAGGAGTCTGGCTGCCGAATGGGGAACACCTCTTAGTCTGGAGGCTTTTAGCTGCCTGAAGGGCCAGCTGTTTCTATCTTTAGTTCAGTAGGCGTACACCTCCTAACATGGGCAAGGGAACTTCAATTGGTCTTCCCAGCCAATAGGAAAGAGCTCAGGAGCATTTTAGCTCTGAGGCTCAGGAAAAAAGGATCAGGCAGAGTAGGGTTTACAACTTGGGTGAGGTCAGCTCACCACTACTGAAACAGTTTTAGATTCACCACGCCAATTCCAAGCCTTGGACATAGCAGCAGCTGCTCACAAATACCAATTTGGAGACCTCTCCCACCCCCCAACTCAATGGGAGTTGAGCCCATTTTCTTTCAAAGGGACAACTTTCTTCCAGCATTACTTCCATGTAGTGTCAATAGCACTAGTCCCTGCCAACCACTTCATTTTACACATCTCATCCCCACCCCCTCATGTCTGTCTAGATTAATACTGCAGTCACAAAGGATTCCCCTCATAGAGCCTACTGCTCATCACCTAAGGGAACTCCCCTCCCTCCCTTCCCCTTCAAAAATAGCACAGAAAATTAAAAGGCTTAAAATGTATTTTAATAAGTCGATGCTGCATTACTGCTCCATTTCTCAGAAAAACTCCAAATTTTTCAGACAAATCAAACACGGTACACTGATGAAAAAAATGCACAGCGTGACTACCTAAGATAGGCAAATCTAAGAGCTACTGTCAGGCTTTCAGTATACAGCAACCCTGTTCCCAAGATTATACTAGGCCTATCAAGAAAAGCTGTGAACAGTAACATCATAGACACAAAAGGGTCATTCCTGGGTATCCTCACCCAAGAAAAAGATGGAGGCAAGTTAACACAAGATTTTTTTTTTTTTAAGATATACTAAAATGAAAATCTCTAAGAGAAAATGTCTTCTTTAGGACATGAAGGGGTAATATATGGGATATAACACAACCGTATGTTCGTTGCCTGTGACCTTTGTGGACTGCCTGAATTCTCCCCTGGGAGTGAATGGAGCAATGGGGCTAAGGTCATTGGGGGATGTTTGGTTTTTGTGGTGTATGTGGCAATTTCTCTGGGGCTGGGGAGTGTTAAGGATAAGAAAGCAAATAAGGCTGGGAACATGTCTCCAGGTGGGCGGGAGCAAGCAAATGAAACAAGATGGACAAAAAAAAAAAACCCGGAATGATCAAGATTAATGAACTCTAACTGTATCCACTCTGCCATGATTTCCCCAGGCGCTCAACAATCACATCTGAGATTTCAGGAATGCACCACACAGAACTGATTAAACATTATACCACACATGGTTTGTTTATACCACCCCTCCCTTGCCCTCTGCCCCAGCATACTCCCTATAGTACAGGTAGGGTAGATCTAACTATTGGAAGGAATCCCTAACACTTTTCCAGGGTAGAATTCTGGCTAGTCCAAAAAGGGTCCCTTCTTTTAAGGGTTTTGAGAAACTAGACACTGCAACTTTATTAGTATCGGCGGCGTTTGTTTGGAGCGAATTCAGCTCCAGGAGCTGCACGGTTGAATGCAGGAGGAGTTCCACCAATTGCCCCAATTCCTTCCATTGTAGCAGCCTGACCAAAGCGTTCAGTTGTTGGTGGGGTCTTAAAGAGAAAAAAAGAGCAATATTGTAACAGAGTCATTGTTCTAAGCTTCCCACCTACCTATAATACCTCCATTGGAGGCCATTTCCATTCAACTATTCAAGGATCCTGATGACAGGAGTGAGTGATCAAGTCTGTTTAGAGGATAACCCCAAAAGATCGTCTGAATTAGGGACTTAACCAATCATCTTACCTTTAACTTTTTAGCCACTAATGACTAAGCAACATCACATACAATCCTAAATTCCTAGGTTAGCTGTTATAGCCAAATCCTTTTTGCTGAGCTAGGTATCTGCACAAGGGCAGGCTATCTTAAAACATCCAGTTTTGGCTGGGTATGGTGGCACATGCGTGTAATCCTAGCTACTCAGTAGGCTAAGGCAGGAGAATCACTTGAACCCAGGAGGCGGAGGTTGCAGTGAGCCCAGATTGCACCACTGTACTCCAGCCTGAGCGACAAGAATGAAAACTCCACCTCAAAAAAAAAAAAAAAAAAAAAAAATCCAGTTTTGGCATTATCAATTTTTTTTCTTTTGGTTCCCTGACTGGGAAACGGGCATGATCAATTTTTAACACCACAACCAAAACAACCTCAGGATTGCATGAGCCATGAAATATTTGGATTCAGAACTATTTTACGTGATAATGCCTACCCTGCGTTGACTTCCCTCCAAAACACAACCTGTTGTTACCCATAGTAGCAACTACACAGTCAGAATGGCCAGTCAGACAGTGGCATTTACTTAAGTCCTAGATTAAGTATAGAGACCGAGTTTGCTCAAGATTCAAAAATAAAGATCTTGAGGTTACATTTAATGGATATCAGCAGTCCTAAAGACTGCTATCTGGGCCAGGCACAGTGGCTTAGGCCTGTAATCCCAGCACTTTTGGAGGCTGAGGTGGGCAGATCATCTGAGGTCAGGAGTTTGAGACCAGCCTGACCAACATGGTGAAACCTTGCCTCTAAAATACAAAATTAGCTGGACATGGTGGCACGCGCCTGTAATCCCAGCTACAGGAGAATCACTTGAACCCGGGAGGCGGCAGTTGCAGTGAGCCAAGATTGCGCCATTGCACTCCAGCCTGGGCAACAAAAGCAAAACTCTATCTCCAAAAAAAAAAGACTGCTATCTGTAGCAAACTGAGGTAGGCCTAGGGGCTGTGAAAACAATGCCTGTTCTCCTACCACCATTTAGAGTTACTGTAAGGCCTGGCAGTTTATTACCAATCCCAAAGTTCCATCCGGCATCATAGTGGCAGGTCCTGGAGGAGCTGGGGTACCAGCTGGCACAGGAGCAGGGGGCATGGCACCTCTGTTGTTTATGCCCATAGCACCTAAAGCAGAGTAGTGTGATCAGGACAAGGGAGAGAGACTGTTAATCTCTTTCCATGCCAAAGGAAATAATTCAACAAGACCTCTGGGCCAAGACATGCACATCACTCCCTTAAAGTAGGTAGCAGAAGCTATATAGTTCACCAGGGACCAAACAAAAAAGGAAATTAGAGCCATTAACCTCCTAAGTCCTTACCTCCCATAGCCATCTGACCCATCCGAATCTCCTGCTCTCTCTGAAAAACAAAAAATACTCAAGACAGTCCAAGACAGCAGTGCATTCTACCACAATCCATCAAAGACCACACATGGATAACCCATCCCAAGAGCACTGAGATCAAGCTGTGGAGCACAACAACCCTTGATAGTTGTGCAACAAATTCAAGGTCACGGAGCTACTAGGACACAAATCAGTCTCCTATTAGGAACAGAGCGGTGAAAGGAAGGGGGAAGAGATTTCTTCTAGAAGTTCCAACCTGTACAATTGAAATCACAGCAGAGAAGTAGCCAAGGTTGCATATCTCTTCCTATAGTCACTGAGTCTACACAGAATACAGCAGGACTCAGCTTTTCATCCTAAATTGCCTGTGAGGCAAGAACTCCTCTTCAGGCCGGGCACGGTGGCTCACGCCTGTAGTCCCAGCACTTTGGGAGGCCGTGGGAGGCCGAGGCAGGCAGATCACCTGAGGTCGAGAGTTCAAGACCAGCCTGGCCAACATGGAGAAACTCCATCTCTACTAAAAATACAAAATTAGCTGGGCATGGTGGCACATGCCTGTAATCTCAGCTACTTGGGAGGCTGAGGCAGGAGAATCACTTGAACGTGGGAGACAGAGGTTGCAGTGAGCTGAGATTGCACCACTGTACTCTAGCCTGAGTGACAAGAACGAAAACTCCATCTCAAACAAAACAAAACAAAACAAAAAAAACATGCCACTGCACCCTGCCATAGTATATGCTGTTAACACAATTGTTTGTTGATAATACTACTGATCTGAAAACTAAGGTGTGGAAAAAAAGGAAATATTTCTGTCAGGAAATCAGCAAACTCTGTCTCTCTGTAAAATTCACTGATTTTTGCCACTGAAATCAGCATTTGCTACAGAACGAAACCCATGCAATTAGAATTTCTTAAGCAACTGAAGCCCCCCTGCCTGGCCTTGGCATTTATGTAGCTGAAAGGGAGCATTAATATAGAAAAATGCTTTCTTTCTGTAGCACATTTTTCATTAAGACCACGTTGTCACTTAACTAATATTGCTTAAGAATACCATCCTGGAGACAAAAACATTTCAACGGAATTGTACCATGACATTCCTACCATGTGGGTCATTACAAATTGTCTTGCTGTGGTTTAAAAGCAGAATAACTGAAACAGAAGAACAAGTACAAGCTCTAGAAGTATCTTCCCAGTAGGATTTTACCCTACAGGGTACAAGCAATAAAAACATTGAGCAGAGAAACGGAAATAGGCTGTGGCTCCAGTTTTGGCATTATCAATTTTTTTCTTTTTGGTTCCCTGACAGGGAAACGGGCATGATCAATTTTTAACACCACAACCAAAACAACCTCAGAACTGCATGAGCCATGAAGTATTTGGATTCACTACTATTTTATGTGATAATGCCTACCCTGCATTGACTTCCCTCCAAAACACAACCTGTTACCCATGGTAGCAACTACACAGTCAGACTGGCCAGTCAGACAGTGGCATTTACTTAAGTCCTAGATTAAGTATAGAGACCAAGTTTGCTCAAGATTCAAAAATAAAGATCTTGAGGTTACATTTAATGGATATCAGCCATCCTCAAGACTGCTATCTGGGCCAGGCGCAGTGGCTTACACCTGTAATCCCAGCACTATTGGAGGCTGAGGCAGGCAGATCATCTGAGATCAGTTCAAGACCAGCTTGACCAACATGGTGAAACCTTGCCTCTAAAATACAAAATTAACTGGGTATTGCATGCCTGTAGTCCCAGCTACTCAGCTGACGCTGAGGCAGGAGAATCACTTGAACCCAGAAGGCAGCGGCTGCAGTGAGCCAAGATTGCGCCACTGCACTCCAGCCTGGGCAACAAGAGTGAAACTGTATCTCAAAACAACAACAACAACAACAAAAAGAACTCCTCTTCAAACCTTACCTCTCCTTCTCATGAATTCTTTTTTCTAAAGTGCTATTTCACAACACAGGAAAATTGGTTATAACCAGTATCCTAGCAGACAATTCATGGTGACTCAGGCTTATCACGACTGGCCTGGTACATCATGGGTACATGGGAGATATACCGCATCAGGGAAGGTTCCCTTGAATCCTTCCTGCTGTCGCCGCATCATTTCTTCTTGCTGTCGCCGCATCTCTTCCTCACGGCGCCTGCGCTCTTCCTCCTGCCTACGGAGAGTCATCAAGGCATTTAAGAGAGGCATTTCAGAACTTGAGCAGATTAATAGGGGACTCAGCCAAGGACACGGGCCTATTGAAAACTATCACAGTTCACCAGGAAACTCACTGTTAAGTGTGCCTAGCCCTGAGGCAACCCCCAAAGGAACCTCATGAGACCAGCACTCAGCTGCTTTCTTTTTAGCAGGTAACTCCCAGAACCATGGGCAGCTAAACATCTCCAATCCAAACAGAGAACCCGAGAAGCAGCCAGGAATTATTTGCCAACATGTTAACAAATGCATGAGGTAGCATGGCAGCAGGAAAGAGGAATGAGACATTACCTTTTAGAGTTGTCAGGGAAAAAAAGAGTTTGAGAAAAGTTACCTGAGCTCCAGCTGCTTTCGTTTTTGCACCTCTTGGTTATGCAGCTCTTCCATCCTCCGAAGTTCTTCTTGGCGCCTCATCAAATCTAAAGAAACAACAGACTGAGAATATTTCTCATTGCCTTCATATAGCTCTAATGACTTTCTATCAATTAAGATCCAGAAGGCAAAGAGGATATAATTCCTTTGGTGCCACCTGTGGTGTCCAGATTCCAAAGTGAAGTCAAACCTATCATTTCCTTCTCCACAGAATCCAGTATCTCTGCCACATCTCCAACGCTATTTATGTACCAAAATCAACACAGAATACTTCTGAGTATAAAAGCAGAGATCTAGACCTTTCTGCTAATTGATACAAATAAACTCATTTTAAAAAGTCACTTTGTCCTTTCAGCTTTAAGACTTACAGGCCTAGACTCACCTTGTCTCATTAGCATGACCTGGTGCTCATGGCGTGCAGCCTCCATCTCCATCTCTAGCTTCTCACGAGCCTCCTTGATGTTGCGGTCCACTTGGTCCTGCTGCTGCTTCTCCATCTCAATGAGTGCCTTCCAGCGCATGGCATACTCATACTCGAAGGAGCCAGGCTGTGCAAATCTGGGTGGCTGCTCTCGTTCCCTATAGGCAAAGTTCCTAGGTTACTAACTTTGTCCAGGATTACCCCAACTAACTATTGCATTCCTTCTGAGGACCAAGACAATGGCTGCCAGTGAACATGTGCAGCAAAAACCTGCCTCTTTTACATATTCCCTTATAAGCTTCCTTAAGAAGCAAACACCTAATAGGGAAATCCATCAAGACCACTTACTTGTGAAATTGCTGGTTCTTTATAACCAGCTTCTCTGGAAGTCCCTCTTCATCATCTAACTGGTCCATGGGCTCCACAGTCACAGGACGAGGAAATCTGGGAGAAAGAACAAAGTTCAGTGTTAATCAAATCATACCCCACCAGGCTCCTCTACACATGCTGCTGGCACAATGAATTAGCTAGGGCTCAGGATTGGACAAATACTTCTGAAGGAATTTTTTATACCTAACAGCATTATAGAAAATGGGGGTTCAAAGGACAAAAATCAGGCTTCAGATCTCTGAATACAGCCTCAGAAAGATGTTCCAAGTAGGTAGGTACAGTACTGAAGTACAGCCTCAACATCTGATTATCTACAGAACTCTGAGAAATGACTTGTGGCTAACACTAAGAGATACGACATGCACAAATCAGCTTTTCAGAGCTCTAAAACTTCAAAGTAAAGAGAGACTTAACACCGATTAAATGACAATCTAGTGAATGACTAAAAAGGTTTTTTCATAATTGTCATCCTACTTCTATTAATCTAAGATTATAGTAAAAATCCTATGAGAAAGCTCAATTAGTACCAAAAGGCTTTTTTTTGGGGGGAGACAGTCTTGCTCTGTTGCCCAGGCTAGAGTGCAATGGTGCGATCTCAGCTCACTGCAACCTCTGCCTCCCGGGTTCAACAGATTCTCCTGCCTCAGCCTCCTGAGTAGCTGGGATTACAGGCACCCACCACTGCACCTAATTTTTTTATTTTTCTTTTTTTTTAATTATAATATTTCGTACAGTAACACTAATTTTTTTTTTTTTTATTTTTAGTAGAGATGGGGTTTCACCATCTTGGCCAGGCTGGTCTCAAACTCCTGACCTCATGATCCACCCACCTCGGCCTCCCAAAGTGCTGGGATTACAGGCATGAACCACCGTGCATGGCCTAGTACCAAAAGTCTTTAAATGAACATAGAAACATGGTTACTAAAGGTTAACTCTCCAGACCATGGAAGGAATCAACAATCTAAGGTCTATGTCTGAAAATGATCCTCACTTACGTGGTTAGCAGAAAGGAGCCTTCACTGCATCTGTCCAGAGCTTTCCGAGCAGCTGGCTTCCCTGAGAACTCAACAATGCCTTTTCCCGAGGGCCTTCCTCGATCATCCACTATCACTACAGCCCTCTCCACCTGGCCAAACACAGAAAAGGCTTCTTCCAGCAGTTCGTTGGACACATACTGAGGAAGGTTTCGAACTGTAAGGGATGCACTATGGCAGGCAAAGCGCACACGCAGCTGCTTTCCACGGAGTGGCATATTGTCCAGCTCCACTTTGGCAATCTCCGCTAGGGTTCGTGTTTCCTAGGAAGCAGAGGAAAATTAAGAGTAACTCAGTTTCACAAAGAATACCTTAACAGCCATCAACAGTCTAAAGAAGTATAGTTCAGTAACAAAATATCTCCCCCCTAAAAACTTGACAAGCATACAAAGAAACAAGCGAAAGAATTAATGGTGTGGCTCTTTGGCCACCCTAGTTGCTTCTGATGGCCTTGCAATAAATCACATGTAATTCTAAAAGTTAATAACACTTAGGTGGTCATCAATTCCATAGGTATCATTTTCCCAAGTGACAACAGATCATCCAGAAAACAAAGACACAGTGAAATCCCGTCTCTATCAAAAACACAAAATATTTGCTGGGCATGGTGGCACACACCTGTAGTTCCAGCTACTTGGGAGGCTGAGGCAGGAGAATTGCCTGAACCTGGGAGGTGGAGGTTGCAGTGAACTGAGATCACACCACTGCACTCCAGCCTGGGCGACAGAGCATGACTCCGTCTCAAAAATAAATAAATAAAATAAAATATTCTGGGTGGTGGATTTTAGGGTGGTCTTTGTTTTCTTTTTCTGAGTCTTGCTCTGGCACCCATGCTGGAGTGCAGTGGTGCAACCTCCACCTCCGGGGTTTAGGCGATTCTCCTGCCTCAGCCTCCCGAGCAGGTAGGACTAAAGGCACAGAAAACTACACCCAGCTAATTTTTGTATTTTTAGTAGAGATGGGTTTCAGCATGTTGGCCGGGCTGATCTCAAACTCCTGACCTCAAGTGATCCGCCTGCCTTGGCCTCCCAAAGTGCTGGAATTACAGGCATGAGCCACTGCACATGGCTTAACTTTTGCTAGCTATGTACCAGAATCATGTATACCCTCCAAGAAGCCTCTTCGGAACCATAAACCTTGATGGGATCCCTTTCATATTACTAAAGAGAAATCTGATACCCAGAAAAAATGACTTGCCTTTATAGTCTAGAGTTAGCAGCAAATTAGAATAAAAACCAGTTCTGACCACCCCATCCAGTGATCCTGCTGTCACATTATTCTCGTCCATTTATGAAGGTATCGTCCATTTATGAAGGTAGATACTATCTAGAAATGTTTTCCTCTCACATAATTCCCTAAATTAAACCAGATTTTAAAATAAGGTCTACACTTACAAATGGTTAAGATGGTAAATTTTATGTTATGTATGTTTTATCATCATTAATTTCCTTTTATTTATTTATTTTTTTTGAGACGGAGTCTCACTCTGTGGCCAGGCTGGAGTGCAATGGCGCTATCTTGGCTTACCACAGTCTCTGCCTCCCGGGTTCAAGAGATTCTCCTGCTTCAGTCTCCCAAGTAGCTGGTACTACAGGTGTGCGCCACCATGCCCAGCTAATTTTTAGAGAATGAGTTTCACCATGTTGGCCAGGATGGCCTCAATCTCTTGATCTCGTGATCCACCTGCCTCAGCCCCACAAAGTGCTGGGACTACAGGCATGAGCCACCATCATTAATTTTCTCTACTGCCCAAGCTGGAGTACAGTCCTATGGTCATAGCTCACTGTAACCTCAAACTCCTAGACTCAAGTAACCCTCTCGTCTCGGCCTAGTTAAGTAGTTAGGATTACAGGCACACCCCATGCCTGGCTAATTCATTTAAAAATTTTTTAAAGATACAAATAAATCAGGCACAGTGATGCACGTCTGCTGTCCCAGCTACTCAGGAGGCTGTGGAAAGAGAACTGCTTAAGTCCAAGAATTCAAGTCCAGCCAGGGCAACACGGTGAGATACCTATCTTTTTTAAAACAAGATACAAATAAAACTGTCTCTTAATGGTTATGAAAAGTCTTAAGACAATGTACGTGTAGAAGCTTGAGAAATAAATTATATAAACCTTTATCATTAATAATTTTTTTTTTTTTTAGACGGAGTTTCGCTCTTGTTACCCAGGCTGGAGTGCAATGGCGCAATCTCAGCTCACTGCAACCTCCGCCTCCTAGGTTCAGGCAATTCTCCTGCCTCAGCCTCCTGAGTAGCTCGGATTACAGGCACGCACCACCATGATCAGCTAATTTTTTGTATTTTTAGTAGAGATGGGGTTTCACCGTGTTGACCAGGATGGTCTTGATCTCTTGACCTCGTGATCCACCCACCTCGGCCTCCCAAAGTGCTGGGATTACAGGCATGAGCCACCGCGCCCAGCCAATAAATATTTTTTTCACCTTTTCTGGAGGAAAACAAAAAGATCATGGAGGGACCAAATAAGGGAAGGGTCTAGATAAAACAAAATTAACCACCAACTTGATAATTATTGAAGCTGTGCAATACATATGTGCAAGTTCATTATTATACTATTCTGCCTACTTCTGTATGTTTGAAATTTCTCAATTTGCCGGGCGCGGTGGCTCAAGCCTGTAATCCCAGCACTTTCGGAGGCCGAGGCGGGTGGATCACAAAGTCAAGAGATCGAGACATCCTGGTCAACCTGGTGAAACCCTGTCTCTACTAAAAACACAAAAAATTAGCTGGGCATGGTGGCGCGTGCCTATAATCCCAGCTACTCAGGAGGCTGAGGCAGGAGAATTGCCTGAACCCAGGAGGCGGAGGTTGTGGTGAGCCAAGATCGCGCCATTGCACTCCAGCCTGGGTAACAAGAGCAAAACTCCGTCTCAAAAAAAAAAAAAAAAAAAAAAAAGCCGGGCGCGGTGGCTCAAGCCTGTAATCCCAGCACTTTAGGAGGCCGAGGCGGGTGGATCACGAGGTTGAGAGATCGAGACCATCCTGGTCAACATGATGAAACCCCGTCTCTACTAAAAGTGCAAAAAATTAGCTGGGCATGGTGGCACGTGCCTGTAATCCCAGCTATTCAGGAGGCTGAGGCAGGAGAATTGCCTGAGCCCAGGAGGCGGAGGTTGCGGTGAGCCGAGATCGCGCCATTGCACTCCAGCCTGGGTAACAAGGGCGAAACTCCGTCTCAAAAAAAAAAAAAAAAAAAAGAAAGAAATTTCCCAATTAAAGTTTCGGCCAGGCACAGTAGCTAACATCTGTAATCCCAGCACTTTGGGAGGCTGAGGCAGGAGGATCACCTCAGGTCAGGGGCTCAAGACCAGCCTGGCCAACATGATCAAACCCCATATCTACTAAAACATAAAAATTAACCGAGTGTGGTGGTAGATGCCTGTAAACCCAGCTACTTGTGAGGCTGAGGCAGGAGAATTGTTTAAACTTGGGAAGTGGAGGCTGTAGTGAGCCAAGACAGCACCACTGCATGCCAGTCTGGGCAACAAGAGCAAAACTCTGTCTTAAAAAAAAAAAAGTTCCTAAGGGCATACTTTAGCTCCAGTATCCTAGGCAAAAAAAACCCTGTTATCTTTGAAACAAAACTGTGAGGAAAAATTAAAGTGTGCATTTTTTTGCAGTTGTTTCATCAATAAGCTTTTTTTTTTTTTTGAGACGGAGCTTCGCTCTTGCCCAGGCTGGAGTGCAATGGCGCGATCTCGGCTCACCGCAACCTGGGCTCAGGCAATTTTCCTGCCTCAGCCTCCTAAGTAGCTGGGATTACAGGCACGCGCCACCACGCCCAGCTAGTTTTTTGTATTTTTAGTAGAGACGGGGTTTCACTATGTTGACCAGGATGGTCTCGATCTCTCGACCTCGTGATCCACCCACCTCGGCCTCCCAAAGTGCTGGGATTACAGGCTTGAGCCACCGCGCCCAGCCATCAATAAGCTTTTAATGAACAAATCATCTGCTAATTATTTCCAGTGCCTATTTTTCCATATCCATTATTCCCCAGCTTCCCCATCTTTAGAGCACATGCCTCAAAAGCCAACCGTTGCTCACCAAGCGGATAAAGCCAAATCCTTTATCCTTATGAATGAAGACTTCGCCCGCCTTTCCATATTTCTCAAACAGTTTCCTCATTTCTTCCTCGGTGATGTCGGGAGGAAGATTTCCCACAAAGAGACGGCTTCGTTGGGTGAAGGTCTTCTCTCCTGGTTTCCTAAAATTCTTCAGGTCAATAGTCAAGCCTTCATCTGAGAGAAGACACATAACCACTTAAAAGACTGGGGAAAGAATATCACAGTCGAATCCTCAAAGACCTATAACCACCACTAGATTACAAAACATAACTTGTAGAGAATGCAAACATCATTTCCCATGGCAACCTAACCACTTATTAGTAAATTGCACCTTAGAATGTGAAAGCAGTATGCAGAGCTCTTCAAGGACATCTGAACAGCTCTATGATGGGCCAGAAGCCAAGCTGGACTAAGCAAGGGAGAGAAAAATATAGAACCTACCGGCCAAAGAGAAAAATCAAGCAATTCAAGGAGCCCTATGTTACAAGGGATCAGATTTTAACATTCAAAATGTAACTTCAGATGAGAATTAAAAAATAATTTTTTTTAGGCTGGGCGTGGTGGCTCATGCCTGTAATCCAAGCACTTTGGAGGCCAAAGTGGGTGGATCACCTGAGATTGGGAGTTCAAGACCAGCCTGACCAACATGGTGAAACCCTGTCTTAAAAAAAAAAAAAAAAAAAAAAAATTTTTTTTTTTAAATAACTGTTCCATTTTCCTAACCTCTCACCAATTTTCATAACCATAACAGTTCCCATTCTTTCAGGCTGGGAGCAACAAAATGAAGTTAGGAAACAGCAATTCTTTATAGTAATCTCTGGAAATAAAGCTGGGATTGGTTCTAGTCTTAGAGACATACAAATGGTACTCAAAGTTTACTGACTGAACGGGAACATATACTTAAAGACTTTTTTCCAATGAGCTGGTACAGGCTCAAGGCTAACCATATAATACTTAGTACCAGACTTCTCCATTTAAGCCTAAAGGCTTATTCTGGCTGCCGGGGGAGGGGGGGGCGGTGATTAAAAAAAAAAAAAAAAAAGACTTATTCTATATTCTTTCTAACCACCAGTCATCTGATGACTACCTCTAAGAACCAAGCTGAGATAAAACATGCAGACGTTTGTTTAGCAGTAGAATGTGCCAACACAGCAGAGCAACCTGTACTCAACTGCTGTCATACATGTTTGCTCCTTGGTTCCGGAGAATAATTAGCCTTTTCCATCATAAGAAGTATTAAGAGGTAAAGAGGGAAAAGAACAAAGGTGTGCCATAAAGGCTATTCCCTTATAATCCTGAGAAATGAATCTTAAAATCAAGAAACCATTCCCAGTGGGAATCAATTTCTACCCCATCACCTAGAATATACACACTTTGGCTGCTGGCCTGTTGCCCATTTGCAGGTATTGGTGGTGGTGGTGGCTGCTGCTGTTGCTGCTGGTGGTGCTGTTGCTGGTGGTGATGTTGATGATGCTTTCTTGGAGTATGGTTTTGCTTCTCCAAGTTAAAAGTTTTATTACTCTGCATTTTTGCACCCTATAAAGAAAGAGTAGATGATTAAATAAATTCAGTACTAATAACACAACCATTCACCTTCCTGATGACTTGTATGTCATTAATCAGCTTTGGTACTCTGGCTTTTGCCAGAGGCAAACAATTGGTTACTTTGAACAACCACGACAAAGGAGAACAATTCAAAAACCTATCAGTGTGGCCGGGCGCGGTGGCTCACGCCTACAATCCCAGCACTTTGGGAGGCGGAGGCAGGTGGATCACGAGGTCAAAAGATTGAGACCATCCTGGTCAACATGGTGAAACCCCGTCTCTAATAAAAACACAAAAATTAGCTGGGTATGGCGGCACACGCCTGTAGTCCCAGCTACTCGGGAGGCTGAGGTGGAAGAATTGCTTGAATCCAGGAGGCAGAGGTTGCGGTGAGCCGAGATCGTGCCATTGCACTCCAGCCTGGGTAACAAGAGCAAAATTCCATCTCAAAAAAAAAAAAAAAAACTATCAGTGTTGTATATGAAAACCATGCAAAAAAAAAAAAAAAAAAAAAAAAAAAAATCTTGCATTCGGAAGTTACAAAATGTAGTAAAAATCAAACAAAAAAGGAAAAAATAAAGAAAAAAATTAATTAAAAGGCCAATGCAGTGGCTCATGCCTGTAATCCCAACACTTTGGGAGGCAGAGGTGGGTGGACTACTACTTGAGTCCAGGAGTTTGAGACCAACCTGGGCATCATGGTAAAACCCCATCTCTACCAAAAAATACAAGAATTAGCTGGGTGTGGTGGCATGCACGTGTGGTTCCAGCTACTTGGGAGGCTGAGGTGGGAGGAACACTTGAGCCCAGGAGTTCAAGATCAGCCAGCTTAGTGAGACCCCATCTCTACAAAAAAAAATTAAAAATTACCCAGGCATAGTGACACACACCTGTAATCCCAGCTACTCAGGAGGCTGGGGCTGGAGGATCACTTGAGCCTGGGAGTTAGAGGCTGTAGTGAGCCATGATTGTGCCACTGCACTCCAGCCTGGGAAACCGAGAGCGATCTTGTCTCAAAAAAATTAAATAAAAATCGAGGCCGGGCGCGGTGGCTCAAGCCTGTAATCCCAGCACTTTGGGAGGCCGAGGCGGGTGGATCACGAGGTTGAGAGATCGAGACCATCCTGGTCAACATGGTGAAACCCCGTCTCTACTAAAAATACAAAAAATTAGCTGGGCATGGTGGCGCGTGCCTGTAATCCCAGCTACTCAGGAAGCTGAGGCAGGAGAATTGCCTGAACCCAGGAGGCGGAGGCTGCGGTGAGCCGAGATCGCACCATTGCACTCCAGCCTGGGTAACAAGAGCGAAACTCCGTCTCAAAAAAAAAAAAAAAAAAAATTAAATAAAAATCTAAAAACAACCAAGCATCAGCAGTTACACTGCACATAGAAACTAAATGAGTACTGGATGAAAGCAGCTTGCACTACAATGGGCTTAAGGAACTTTCCAGTTCAATACTATACATTAACAGGAAACTACTTTTCCAAAAGAACCCACTCTTAAAAACTGGCCCCATCACACATTAAAAGCACATTTTAAAAACAAAACAATTGAAACAGATTCTAGTTATCACAAGGACAAAAACTAGTAAAGTCTTGTCTTCTCTGGCACCTGACGATCCTAGCCCACAGTACATACTGTGTAAACAACGGTGGTACAAGTATGGGCTGTGAAGTTAGGCATCCTTAGGTTTGAATTGTGTTCCTAAACTGTGTACTACTTTAGTAGTAAATTATTCTGTACCTGTTTCTTCAGCTGTTCTAAACGGGATGATAAAAATACTGGTCTCTCAAAGTAGCTATAAGAATAAACACGTAAAAATACTAGTTCACTAGTGGCATACAGTAAGCACTCTAAATATTTATTAATGACAATGGAAAGACAAACGACTACTAACGTAATAAAGGCAAATATAAAAAGATAGGCCGGGAGTGGTGGCCAGTGCTTGTACTCCTAGCACTTTGGGAGGCCGAGGCGAGCAGATCACCTGAGGTCAGGAGCGCAAGACCAGTCTGACCAACATCGTGAAATCCCATCTCTACTAAAAATACAAAAATTAGCTGGGGGTGGTTGCAGCTACAGTTACTTGGGGAGGCTGAGGCAGGATAATCACTGGAACCCAGGAGGTGGAGGTTGCAGTGAGCAGAGATCATTCCACTGCACTCCAGCCTGGGCAACAAGAGTGAAACTCTGTCTCAAAAAAAAAAAAAAAAAGAGAGAGACAGAGAAACAGGCTGTGCACAATGGCTCACATCTGTAATCCCAGCAATTTGGTAAGTCTAGGCAGGAGGACTGCTTGAGCCCAGTAGTTAGAGACCAGCCCTGGCAACATAGTGAGCCCCATCTCTGCAAAAAATATGTATAAAAAAATTAGCCATAGGCCGGGCATGGTGGCTCACCTGAGGTCAGGAGTTCGAGACCAGCCTGGCCATCATGGTGAAACCCCATCTTTAAAAAAAAAGAAAAAAAATGAAAAAAAGAAAAAATAAATAAAATTAGCCAGGCATGATAGCACATGCCTGCAGTCCCAGCTACTTGGGAGGCTGAGGCTGCAGTGAGCTGTGATCATGCCACTGTATTCTAGCCTGGGCAGGCAGAATGAGATTCTGTCTCCAAAAAACAAAATAATAATAATAAAACATTAAATTCTATCATTTAAAAATCAGGCCGGGCGCGGTGGCTCAAGCCTGTAATCCTAGCACTTTGGGAGGCCGAGACGGGTGGATCACAAGGTCAAGAGATCGAGACCATCCTGGTCAACATAGTGAAACCCCGTCTCTACTAAAAATACAAAAAAATTAGCTGGGCATGGTGGCACATGCCTGTAATCCCAGCTACTCAGGAGGCTGAGGCAGGAGAATTGCCTGAATCCAGGAGGCGGAGGTTGCGGTGAGCCGAGATCGCGCCATTGCACTCCAGCCTGGGTAAAAAGAGCGAAACTCCGTCTCAAAAAAAAAATAAAATAAAAAAATAAAAATCAACGTAAGATTAAAAAGAAAACAAGTGCTCTGTGCTCCCAAACATTGAAAAGAAAAAAAAAAAAATGAGGCCAGCATGGTGGCTCTAGCCCAGGCATCCCCAAACTTTTTACACAGGGGGCCAGTTCACTGTCCCTCAGACCGTTGGAGGGTCGCCACATACTGTGCTCCTCTCACTGACCACCAATGAAAGAGGTGCCCCTTCCTGAAGTGCAGCAGGGGGCCGGATAAATGGCCTCGGGGGGCCGCAGTTTGGGGACGACTGCTCTAGCCTGTAATCCCAGCACTTTGGGAGGTTGAGGTGGGAAGATGGCTTGAACCCAGGAGGAGTTTGAGACCAGCCTGGGCAACATAGTGAGACTCAGTCTCTGTTTTAACTGGGCTCAAGCAGTCCTCCAGTGGCTCATGCATGTAGTTCCAGCTACTTGGGAGGCTGAGGCTGGAGAATTAACTTGAGCCCAGGAAAAGGAGGTTACAGTGAGGTGAAATCATGCCACTGCACTCCAGCCTAGCCAACAGGATGAGACCCTTCTCAAAAAAATAAAGAAACAAATAGGCTGGGCGCGGTGGCTCATGCCTCTAATCCCAGCACTTTGGGAGGCCAAGGCAGGCAGATCACCTGAGGTCAGGAGTTAGAGACCAGTCTGGCCAACACGGTGTGGCAGCATGCACTTGTAGTTCCAGCTACTTGGGAGGCTGAGGAGAATTGCTTGAACCCAGGCAGCAGAGGTTGCAGTGAGCTGAGATGCTGCCATTGCAGTCCAGCCTGGGCGAGAGTGAGACTTGGTCTCAGAAACAAATAAAAAAAGAAAAAAGAAGAGCCGGGCACGGTGGCTCACGCCTGTAATCCGAGCACTTTGGGAGGCTGAGGCAGACAGATCACAAGGTCAGGAGATCAAGACCATCCTGGCTAACACAGTGAAAAATTAGCCGGGCGTGCTGGCACACACCTGTAGTCCCAGCTACTCAGGAGGTTGACGCAGAAGAATCGCTTGAACCCGGGAGGCAGAGGTTGTAGTGAACTGAGATGGCACCACTACACTCCAGCCTGGGTGATAAAGCGAGACTTTGTAAGAAAAAAAGATTACTGGTATAATCCAGACTGATTCAAAAGTTGAGTTTTAAAATGAAAATTTTTAACTTTATCAGGTTAACAAACTGAAGACAGTCTTCCTTGTTCAAGGACAGTTCTCCAGGAATTAAAAGCACAATGTCAATCCTAAATCCTTTCCCTCAAACACAAGACCCTCTAATAAGAATTTAGCTTTGTGGGCCGGGCGCGGTGGCTCAAGCCTGTAATCCCAGCACTTTGGGAGGCCGAGGCGGGTGGATCACGAGGTCAAGAGATCGAGACCATCCTGGTCAACGAGGTGAAACCCCGTCTCTACTAAAAATACAAAAAATTAGCTGGGCATGGTGGCGCGTGCCTGTGATCCCAGCTACTCAGGAGGCTGAGGCAGGAGAATTGCCTGAACCCGGGAGGCAGAGGTTGCGGTGAGCCGAGATCGCGCCATTGCACTCCAGCCTGGGTAACAAGAGCGAAACTCCGTCTCAAAAAAAAAAAAAGAATTTAGCTGAAGGAAAAATGCAAAAAAGGACCTTTTTATGAGCATCATATTATTAATACTATATGTTCCCTTTAAAATAGAGAAAATTAGGCCAGGCTCGGTAGCTCACACCTGCAATCCCAGCACTTTGGGAGGCCAAGGTGGGAGGATCACACGGTCAGGAGTTTGAGACCATCCTGGCCAATATGGTGAAACCCCGTCTCAAAAAAAAAAAAAAAAAAAAAGAGAAAATTGGTCCAGGCATGGTGGTTTACACCTGTAATCCCAGAACTTTGGGAAGCCAAGGTTGGTAGATCATAAAGGTGAGGAGCTGGGCGCGGTGGCTCAAGCCTGTAATCCCAGCACTTTGGGAGGCCGAGGCGGGTGGATCACGAGGTCTAGAGATCGAGACCATCCTGGTCAACATGGTGAAACCCCGTCTCTACTAAAAATACAAAAAATTAGCCGGGCATGGTGGCACATGTCTGTAATCCGAGCTACTCAGGAGGCTGAGGCAGGAGAATTGCTTGAACCCAGGAGGCGGAGGTTGCGGTGAGCCGAGATCGCGCCATTGCACTCCAGCCTGCGTAACAAGAGTGAAACTCCGTCTCAAAAAAAAAAAAAAAAAAAGGTGAAGAGTTCAAGACCAGCCTGGCCAATACGGTGATACCCCGCCCTCTACTAAAAATACAAAAATTAGCCAGGGGTGGCACCTGTAGTCTCAGCTACTTGGGAAGCTGAGGCAGGAGAATTGTTTGAACCCAGGAGGCAGAGGTTGTAACGAGCCGAAATCGCACCACTGCACTGCAGCCTGGACAACAGATGAAGACTCTGTCTCAAAAAACAAAACACAACAAAATTGCTGTGGCTCATGCCTGTAATCCTAGCACTTTGGGAGGCTCAGGCAGGTGGATTGTTTGAGTTCAGGAGTACAAGACCAGCCTGACCAACGTGGTGAAACCCTGTCTCTACTAAAAATACAAAAATTAGCTGGGCGTGGTGGTGGGCGTCTGTAATCCCAGCTATTCAGGAAGCTCAGGCAGAATTGCTTGAACCTGGGGGGCGGAGGCTGCAGTGACCCGAGATAGTGCCACTGCAATCCAGCCTGGGCAACAGATAGTCCATCTCAAAAAAATAATTAATACAGAAAATTCTATTTCTCAGATGAAAGAAATGCAACAAAGGCTTGCTTGATAACTATTGATTTTGATAGTGTATAAAAACATTCAAAAAATCCTAATCCATTTTATGTCACATCCCACCAAAACTGAAAACAGCAATGCAATTACCAAATTCTGTATCCAAAAGTAGTTTAGTAAGACAATAGGTAACTAGAGCTAACAAGATATCCATTCAGTCTTTAATTCAGAAATTCTACTCCCGGAAATTTATCCTAATAATTTTAAAATTAAAAACTACACCCATGAAAATGTTCATTGTAATGGCCTTTATGGTAACAATACAATAAAAACGACTTACATTTCCAAAATTAGGAGAATGGTTTTCATTAATTTATGCTAAATCTATACAATAAAATGTCCACAGCATTAAAAATCATCTAGACCACATTAACATGTGGAGAAAAGTTTTTTTTTTAAATATGTGAACATAGAGAAGGAACAGAAGGTAGGCAAAAATGAAAACAACTGCATTGCTTGTAGGTTACTAACAATTTTTCAATTCACTATTGCATTCAAAAAATATTCAGTGAATGCCTACTATCTGCTAGGCACTATTCTAGGTGCTTGATCAGTGAAAAAAGCAGATTTTTGCCTACAGAGCTTACTTCTACTGAGAGACTAAGTAAATTATATAGTAATTAAGAAGAGGTGGTGCTATGGGAAAATAAATAAAAATGGGGGAGGAGGGTAAAGTGGATAGGGAATGGAAGGAGGCAGATGGTAAACCTCACTCAACATTTGACATTTAAGCCAAGACTTAAATTTTCACATTTATATCATTTAATCAATCTTATGTTTCTCATTAATGTTCTAAGGTATCAGAAATTACAAGTTAAAATTTTATTTAAAAAACTTTAAAATTATAATTACATACTTATTACAAAATGCATTTTTAATATAGAAAATGTAGAAAAACAAAAAGAAATAAAAATCCATAGATCTACCACTAATAATACTGTTAACATGTTTGTATACCCTTCTAGTCATTTCATGTATCTGAGACACTATTCTGTAACCTGTTATTTCTACTTTATGATGTTATCATAAACAGCTTTCACATCATTAAATCTTTTACATTAACAAACACAGTATTCAGTTGTCAATGAAGTCCCTATCGTATTGGACACCTGCGTTGTTTCTACTTTTTCACCATTATAATCAATGCTCATAGCTAAATCTTTGGACATACCCATGTAAATATTCCTCCCACAGTTTTCCATTCTTGCTTAATTAAACATACATTATCATTTCGGTGACTGATATGGCACTCTTGTATATTCCTCATTTCTGTTAATGTCAACATAATTATAATTTTTAATGCCTACATAAAATCCACCAGGATGTACACTAATTTACTAAACTACTCCCTACAATAAGACATTTAGGTTGTTGTTTGGGGCTTTTCCTATTACAATGCTGCAGTAAATGTCTTCTGGCTTTAGGCTTTGTTTCCATTTAATTATTTCCACAGGATACATTCTTAAAAATAGAATCTATTCTGTGACTCTTGACACACAATACAACATGGTTTTCTCAAAAAGTTGTAAGGATTTTAAATACCATGAGCAGGTGTAGCAATTTCATGGCAAATGAGATACCTTAAAAAAAGGAAATGTTTTAAAAAATAAGATATAAAAGAAGTTAAAACATACAAAATCTAAAATCCACTCTGGAAACAGCTGGGGGCACCAAAATCAATTATTTTCCTATTTGGGTTCCAGGTGTTAAACATCTTTCTTCCCATGGCCCCAGAGAGGGCAAAGATGGAATGCACTAGTGAAGACTGTCATACTGTATAAAGCACCTAGAAGAGCACCCACCAAGTAGCAAGTACCTCGAGAAATATTTCTTCCTATCACCTATTTCTGATGACCACCAATATAATTTGGAAATATGTGCAGAACCCTCTTCAGAATAATAAATTCATGGTCACCTAAATACTGGGCCTCTGAGAAGAGAACACAGCGCAAAGGTCATCAGCAAAGACTTCTGTCTACTTACTTGCACCCAAGAATAATAACCCTGATGAAGAATTGAGAGAAAATATGCATTGCTGGTTGAGAAAGACTACTTACTGGGCATGCTACAGTTAGACAAATGTTTAGGTAAAAGACCAAACACTACATCACACATATATGAAATCTAAATAAATGTTCCCTCGATTTTCAACAGAAGGGTCAACTTTTTAGGTAACTTCGGGGAAAATCTGATATAAATTTACCAGACTGAGATGTCCAACTGGATGGCCAGCCTGAAAGCTGTGAAATGAACTAAGGTCCTTTCCTAAGGGTTTCTTAGGACTTTTCACTTAATAACAAGGAAGGTGGACAAAGATACAGTATAAATAGAGCCAGTGCCCCCTGCAACTAGAGTTGCCAGATTTCGCAAATAAAATACACAACCCACAACTGGAATTTCAAATTTAACTGAAATTATGCAACGTATACTTAAAAATAATTGGTTGTGTACGCAAAATTCTAATTCAACTGGGTGCCCGGTGTTTTGTCTGGCAACTCTATCCCTTACACCTACCTCAACTTCGATTGAAGACAGCAAAGTGCCTCCCAGTTCTCTCTAACCTCGACTTCTCTGTTAAAAAACGAAAAGAAAGGTGTCAGCTTATGGTAAGAGTTTCTCAAACAGGAAAATAAAATACTCGATGCAAAATCCATAAATTTAAGTTTCATTTTAAGAAGTGATGCTATATAAATGCGTCAAGGAGCTAAGCGGTAGACTAAAAAAAGGGCATACAGAAATCTGACTACGAAAGCGGTGGGCTCTGGACGTGCAGAGGAACTTTCCAGCTAAGACTTTTGACAAAGAAATACCGCTCGAGGGGCCTTACTTGCCCATTCTGAATTAATGGCCTCGCGGGGCCGAGAGGAGGAGCGCCCAACAAAGCGCCTCCTCCTCCAACCAACCACGACTTACAGCGATCTCTCATAATAGACCCCACACGGTCGGGCCCGTGGCGGCTCAGAGACCAGCAACTTACTGACACGGGCAAGATTAGGAGATGAGTTGCACAAAGAAACAGGGCGGGAGCGAAAACGGGGAAAGCCCGAGGCGAAGCGAGTAGACAGAGGTGGGCCCCCGCGGGTGGGCAAAGAAGGCAATGCGGCGGCGGAGACAAGGCCTCAAGGGCCCTCGGAACCGCCATCCTCTCTTCCAAATCTAGCCTCGCCTGAGCCTCTTCCTTCGCTGATTGTTCCAACAAATCCCACTACCCTCCCAAATAAGAACAAGCCGTCCCAAAACTCACCCTCTACCGACTGATCTCTCCTCGGAGTAACGGCGACGCTACACGGCCTCTACCGTCCCGAGAAAAGAGCGCGCGACCGCCGGAAACGAGACGATGGAGCTCGGTGCCTCCCAAGGGGTACAAAGTGGCGTTCCCGATTGGTTAGCTGAACTGCTAATCAAGGTTTATCTCCCGAGGCGGAATCATTTTTCCGCCATTTCTTAGATTCTATTGGCTGCCGAAAGCCAAAGGCTTGAGTTGGTGTGAACGACAGATGGGGACAAAGAGCGAGGCTTTGTACCTGGTAATGCGCATGTGCAAGCGGCCTGGCGCGTGAGACGGAAAAGGAAAGGGGGAGGGGGAAAAGGAAAGGGAGAGGAGCTGGGGGTGGGGGTCGGAAGGAGAGATTAAACGCACTAACTGAAAGACTGAAAGACCAAGTGGTGGGAGGGGGAAAGGAGAGGAGAAAATGGGAGAGAGAGTAAAGTGGAAAGAGGGAGAGGAAGGGGAGAAAATGTGTGCGTAGGCGTGCTCGGAGCATTTCTGCACTGCGCCTGTGCAAGATGCAAGAGTAACAATGTCATTGTATTCAATGTAATAGATTTGGCCTCGCCATGTTTCTTTTTTCACACTTCCTCGTTAGGGCTTGCATCCTGACACCTCATACTTAATCAGATTTCTAGGTGCCTCTCCTGTTGCTAGGGCTACTTGGGAAACGCAGCTGAAATAGTCCACTCTTTGGTCATGGTTACAGACAGGAGGTGGGGGAGGAGAGGGAGCATCACACCTTAGTCGCTGCATGATTACACAGAATTGTAACCAGCACCCTCATTTCCATGGTAACCAGAAGTCCTAGCAGTAACCTAGCAGTCCAAATATCACTATTGTTCCTATAATTTACAGAGAGCATCAACAGGTGTCATCATTGCCATGGATATATTGTAGGCCTACAGATCAGATACTCCATAAGAGGCCTATTAGTAACTAACCTTCATTGTTTCAGTAATGCCTAACTCGCCTCGCCCCGGTGGTTAACCAAGGACTAGAAGGATCAATTGATCGGTATTTGTTGTTAATTCCCACTAATTCACACTCAGGGTTGCAGGGTATCCCAGTGGGCACCACCTTATGTGGGGCACAATGATCTAGACTTGCTATCTGCAATGATGGAGAGGTCCTATGTCTGCTGTGTTCAGTATGGCAGCTACTACCGATAAGTGGCCATTGATATATAACTAATGTGGCCAGGCACAGTGGTTTAGGCCTGTAATCCCAGCACGTTGGGAGGTCGAGGCAGGCAGATAATCTGAGGTCGGGAGTTCGAGACCAACCTGACCAACATGGAGAAACCTTGTCTCTACTAAAAATACAAAAAATAATTAGCTGGGCATGGTAGCGCATGCCTGTAATCTCAACTATTCGGGAGGCTGAGGTAGGAGAATCGCTTGAACCCAGGAGGCGGAGGTTGTGGTAAGACAAGATCGCACCATTACACTCCAACATGGGAAATGAGCCAAACTCCATCTCAAAAAAAATAATAAAAATTTTAAAAAATGAAATATGGGCCGGGCACGGTGGCTCAAGCCTGTAATCCCAGCACTTTGGGAGGCCGAGGCGGGTGGATCACGAGGTCGAGAGATCGAGACCATCCTGGTCAACATGGTGAAACCCCGTCTCTACTAAAAATACAAAAAATTAGCTGGGCATGGTGGCTCGTGCCTGTAATCCCAGCTACTCAGGAGGCTGAGGCAGGAGAATTGCCTGAACCCAGGAGGCGGAGGTTGCGGTGAGCCGAGATCGCGCCATTGCACTCCAGCCTGGGTAACAAGAGCGAAACGCCGTCTCAAAAAAAAAAAAAATACAAAAAACTAGCTGGGCATGGTGGCACGTGCCTGTAATCCCAGCTACTCAAGAGGCTGAGGCAGGAGAATTGCCTGAACCCAGGATTCGGAGGTTGCAGTAAGCCGAGACCGCGCCATTGCACTCCAGCCTGGGTAACAAGAGCAAAGCTCCATCTCAAAAAAAAAAAAAAAAAAAAAAAGAGGCAGGTGATGATGGAGAGGAGCCAGCCAAAACAACAGAGAAAGAAGATCCAAGCAAGGTTTTGAGAGGCCACTTTTTTCTTTTCTTTTCTTTTCTTTTTTCCTGAGACAGTATCGCTCTGTTGCCCAGGCTGGAGTGCAGTGGCTTGATCTCAGCTCACTGCAACCTCCACCTCCTGGGTTCAAGCGATTCTCCTGCCTCAGCCTCCCAGGTAGCTGGGATTACAGGCGTGCACCACCGCACTCGGCTAATTTTTGTATTTTTAGTAGAGATGGGGTTTTGCCATGTTGGCCAGGCTGGTCTTGAACCCCTAACCTCAGGTGATCCACCCGCCTCAGCCTCCCAAAGTGCTGGGATTACAGGCCTGAGCCGCCTCTCCCAGCTGAGAGGCCATTTTTTTCTACGTATCATTATCAATTACATACTATTTGAATACTTCCAAGGTACTTAACATGATAACTGGGGTTTACCAATACTAAGGATTTCTGTCATCAATAAATAATGAGTAACTAGATACACAAGAAATATCAATCAAGAAAAAGTGAATGGCTCAGTATGCAACACTCTGCTTTAAGGATTATACTGAATGACACTTGTATTCAATATTATACTTAGAGGCCGGGCGCGGTGGCTCAAGCCTGTAATCCCAGCACTTTGGGAGGCCGAGGCGGGTGGATCACGAGGTCGAGAGATCGAGACCATCCTGGTCAACATGGTGAAACCCGGTCTCTACTAAAAATACAAAAAAATTAGCTGGGCATGGTGGCGCATGCCTGTAATCCCAGCTACTCAGGAGGCTGAGGCAGGAGAATTGCCTGAACCCAGGAGGTGAAGGTTGCGGTGAGCCGAGATCGTGCCATTGCACTCCAGCCTGGATAACAAGAGTGAAACTCTGCCTCAAAAAAAAAAAAAAAAAAAAATATTATACTTAGAGATGCTAGCCAGAGCAATTGACAAAAAAAAAAAAAAAAGAAATAAAAGGTATCCAGAATGTAAAGGAAGAAGTCAAATTGTATGTATTTGTGGATGATATGATGCTGTAAATAGAAAATCATAGGGAACATACTAAAAAAACCTTATTAGAACAAAGAAATTAATTCAGCAAGGTTTCAGGATATACAGAAGTCAACATATAAAAGTCAAGTATATGTCTATACACTTGCAATGAACAATTTGAAAATGAAATTAAGGAAACACCACAGCCATGACATGTACTACAAAAAGAAAAAAATTAAGGAAACAATTTCATTTATAATAGCAGAAATAATAAAATGCTTAGGAATAAACGTAACAGCAGAAGTACAAAACTTATACTCTGAATACTACAAAATATTGTTTTGTTTTGTTTTGCTTTTGATAACAGTCTCACTCTGCCACCCAAGCTAGAGTGCAGTGGCTTAATCTCAGCTCACTGCAGCCTCTGCCTCCTGGGTTCAAGTGATTCTCCTTGGGAATCACTGAAGCCTCAGCCTCCAGAGCAGCTGGAATTATTGATGCAAGCCACCACGCCTAGCTAATTTTTTGTTGTTGTTGTATTTTTAGTAGAGACAGGGTTTCACCATGTGAGCCAGGCTGGTCTTGAACTCGTGACCTCAAGTGATCCACCTGCCTCAGCCTCCCAAAGTGCAAGGATTACAGGAGTGAACCACTGTGCCTGGCCTCAGAACACTTAAAAGATATTAGGAGGGGCCAGACGTGGTGGCTCATGCCTGTAATCCCAGCACTTTGGGAGGCCAAGGCAGGCGGATCACCTGAGGTTGGGAATTTGAGACCAGCCTAACATGGAGAAACCCCGTCTCTAGAAAAAAAAAAAAAAGATATTAGGGCTGGCGGGGTTGCGGCTTACACCTGTAATCCCAGCACTTTGGGAGGCTGAAGAAGGTGGACCACAATGTCAGGAGTTCAAGCCAGGCCAACATGGAGAAACTCCGTCTCTACTGAAAATACAGAAAAAAAAAAAAAAAAAAAAAAATTAGCTGGACGTGGTAGAGTGCGCCTGTAATCCCAGCTTCTCAGGAGGCTGAGGCAGGAGAATTGCTTGGACCCAGGAGGCAGAGGTTGCAGTGAGCCGAGATTGCACCATTGCACTCCAGCCTGGGTGACAGAGCAAGACTCCGTCTTGAGAAATAAATAAATAAATACATAAATTAGGGCTGGGTGCAGTGGCTCACACTTGTAATCCTAGCACTTTGGCAGGCCGAGATGGGTGGATCACCTGAGGTCAGGAGTTCAAGACCAGCCTGGCCAACATGGTGAAACCCCCTTCTCTACTAAAAATACAAAAAAAACAGCCAGGCGTGGTGCGGGTGCTTGCAATGCCAGCTACTCAGGAGCCTGAGGCAGGAGAATCACCTGAACCTGGGAGTGGGAGGTTGCAGTAAGCTGAGATAATGCTGCTGCACTGCAGCCTGGGCAACAAGAGCAAAACTCAGAAAAAGAAAGAAAAGGGGAGAGAGAGAGAGAGGAAGGGAGGAAGGGAGGAAGGAAGGAAGAAAGGAAGGAAGGAAGGAAGGGGATCTAAATAAATGGAAAAACATCTGGTGATTGTGAATCAGAAGGCCTAATGTTGTTAAAATGGCAATATTCCCCAAGTTAACCAACAAATTCAATGCAATCCCTATCAGAATCCTAGGTTATCTGTAGAATTTGACAAGCTGATTCTAAAATTCATACGGAATTGCCAGGGATGCAGATTTAGCCAAAACAACTTTGATAAATAAAACAAGAGCAAAATTGGAGGACTCACACTTTCTTTTTTTCTTTTATTTCTTTTTTTCTTTTTTTTTTTAACAAGCTCTTATCAGGCCAAGGACTCACATTTTCTAATTTCTTTCTTTTTTTTTCTTGAGATGGAGTCCCGAGTAGCTGAGATTACAGGCATGTGCCACAATGCCCGGCTAATTTATGTATTTTTAGTAGAGACAGGGTTTCACTATGTTGGCCAGGCTGGTCTCGAACTCTTGACCTCAAGTGATCCGCCCACGTCGGTCTCCCAAAATGCTGGGATTAGAGGCGTGAGCCACCAAACCTGGCCTATACAACTCTTAGAAGAAAACATAGGGATAAATCTTCATGACCTTGAATTTGACAGTGAATTCTTAGATATAACACCCAAAGCAAA